TACTGAAGGTCCCTCAACCCCGGACATCAAAGATCAAATTGTCAAGAAGACATCAAAGGGGAGAATGCAAGGATTTCTTCAGACAGCCTTCCTCAGAAGTCAAGTTCAAAGACAAAGGAAGCTCAATAACAACAAAGACAAAGATATCTGCGCTGCAATGCTGATTCAACACGATTGATCACCAAGGGGGAGATTGTTGGGAATATTTTATGGTGTTCAATCTAGTTAGTTATCTTTGTATTTGTGTAGTTATTAATTAAACGTGTAATACGGGCCACAAATGTGTATCAGCCCGTGGGCTTCCTTGTAACCCGTAAGTTAGCTAACTTCTCCTATAAAAGGAGGCTAACTTACGGGAACCCTAACTGATCGACAGAGGCTTAGAGTTCAGAGGCGTAAAGATAGAGAGAGATTAGGGTTGCCGCTGCTCTCCTTCTCCAGGGAGAGTAGCGGCCGGTTTTCATACGGTATACCAGATTCGCGTTTAATCTTCGACATATCTTTCTATCTACTTCTTCTATAACTGCTATGGTTGTATGATTGTTAGTATTCTGGGATTAACATATTTCATGTACAAAAATTAAAAAAAATCCAACACTAAAATACAAATTTTTTTGCAATCATAATTTAAGTATTTTACAAGTCTGAGGTGGATTTGAACCTACATTAAGTTATTTAATTTTTGTACGTGAAATTTATATTTTCACATGTTTTTGCATTAGTGACGAGCACTTTGTCACGGTGCGTCAAAATAAATTCAATACTAAACACTTATACGTAGTATAGGTGTAGTAGAGTTCGTATCCACAGGGAAATGAATAATTCTCTTTTTATGATACTTAGTAAATAAAAAGGGGGGATTTAGATTGAGTGATTTGATTTAATTAAAAACTAAGATGAACAACCTATATGTGTTTAATTCAAAGATAAAAAGGACTTGGCATTGCTACTTTCCACTTGTTGATATATTTTAGTCGATCATTGTTATATCTATAACTTATTCCCTCTCGAATACTCAATCGGGGAGTATATCCACTTCATCGAGGGTAGTTATTAACAACGACCGTTCATTAATAACCCTTACTATTAATCAAATATAGAACAACGCCTTATACCGATTTAATAGTAGCATTTAATCTTTCTAACTCCTTAATGAAATCAATTGAGATTGATAACCTACACACAAGCGGTTTCGGTTTAACCAACAAAATTAATCCCTCTTAAGTTTATTAACCACGACCGTGCATTAATAAACCGAAGTTACTTACTTGTGAAACCATCAACGATTAACCATCGGTTCGTTGATCGTTTCTAGTAATAATTAATATATGAAACAAAACTAGTTGATCCTTTAAGTAATGTTCAAAATATTAATATGAAATAAGAGTAGGAATTAATTAATATTCAAGGAAGAATATTATTAAAGAAGATGAATCCTACTATAATTAATATCAAGATGTTAACTAATTGTCATCTTAGCAACACTCCCCAACATTAATATAGAGGAAGAAAATATCATTCTAATTAATGTCGAGATGTTAACTAATTGTCATCTTAGCAACACTCCTCAACATTAATATAGAGATGGTATTAAGGAAAGAACTATTAATTAATATTCAAGGAAAGAAGTTAAGAAAATAACTCACAACTTTAATAATCAACAAGCTTCAAGAGCAACACCAAGAATGGAAGTTTAGCTCCTCATTTGGAGACTAAACATAGCTAGAAAAATATAAAGAAATGCTATTCTAAACTGAGCTAAAGAGTATGGAAGAAAGGATTGATCTTTTGTGAAGAAAAAGTGTGCTATTTATAGGTGTTTTTCAACACCTTTGGCCGGGTACCCGACCGGGTATAGGTACATACCCGATCGGGTACCGGTCAAAATCAGATAATCTCCCACGTTTCATTGTTCCAGCACGTTAATTTGTCCGGGTCAAGTCAGACCCGACCGGGTCAAGTGAGGGACCCGACCGGGTTCGGTCTAAATCAGATTTTTTCCAAAATCTTTGTGATCTTCAGCATGTTCTGGTGTTCCGGGTCATATCTGACCCGACCGGGTCGGGTATGGGACCCGACCGGGTCTTACTTTTTCTTCTTAGATCTGTTCCTCAACTGACCCGACCGGGTTCAAGGTCTGACCCGGTCGGGTTTTTGTGCTCCTGGGTCTTTTTGTCTTCAGTTTTTCTCCCTTTTTCCTCGCTACAAACTCTATCACTATTCTAAAACTCCGAAAAAGAAGGAGAGAACAATTACAAACAAAATAAAACAAGTACTTACAAACTAACTAAAAGTGATGGAAAATCCACACTCAATCAACATAAAAACATACGTTTATGCACTATAAACTAGTGCATATCAATTAGCAATATAAAATTTTTTTATTAAATTTGGGATGAATTAGTCCATCTATTTTCATTTATTTGTTTCTTACTTTATTTAATTAATGTAGAGTAAATTTAAAATTTTTGAATTGCATATATCAAAATACGTTGTATTAAAAATATATAGATGTTAAATGTTTGCAAAGGTGTGATTGTACTAACAAGTCAATGGAGTCTAGTGGCAGGGCTGCAAGATGCAAGTGCATCATTTTGGTCATGAGTTCATGACGTGGATTTTTTTATATTTTAAAAGAATACCCATATGGCTCATGACGTGGAATGACGGATGACGGTGAATGATGTGGAGTGGGTGATGTGGCGGAAATTGGGTGATATGGAAAAAACTACTCTCATTTAGGAAATAAGTTTAAAAGTACCATCAATTGGGAAATAAGATTGAAAACTACCCTCCTTTGGGAAAAAACTCAATTTAATACTATCGTAAATGTGTTGAGTGGTTAATTGTATAGGGTGTTTGGAATTGATTCTGCTTCCGCTTCTTTTTTAAAAGCAGAAGTAGAGTCAAAATCAGTTTTTTAGAAACTGATCTCTCTCATCTTCTAAAAAACTATTTCTAAAAGCAATTTGGAGCACCGAGAAGCACTTTTATATTTTCATCCGAAGGCTCTAATATTCGCTTCTGCTCTCTGATGTTGCAAAACAAGTTTTAAAAAGTAGATCCAAACACTCCGTAATGTGGTCTTTAAATTTGGTGAAGTTTGATGTGGCATAGACTTATTTGATAAGATAAACTTTGATATGATATGAGAGTGGAATTAGGGATGACAAAATTGAATCAAAATCTTTTAAATTTGCAATGGAAAAAAGAGATGTGGCCCTCTTTGAGATTAAAAGGTCCCTTATGCACAAGATTCAATTCAAACTTGAGCTTGCCTCCCAAATTATCGGGTTCATCTATCAGCTTAGAAATCCAAACCAGTCAAAGTTTGAGGAAAAAAGGCGATTTGGAGATATCACGATTTCTGTGGAAAGTAACAGAGCGGGCTACTATGTGAAATTGGCTAAACACAAGGGGGGATCCATTCAGATACCTATGGGATCCAAAACTCGAGCCTATCTAAATTCCTTAATATTTTTTCTAATTTTGTAGGGCTCTCAAATTCGGTGCAAGATGATTCAATATCTCTCCAACATGGGATCATGTTACAATCCGAGGACCCCACATCCATCTCTAAATTGATTTTACATCATCAAATCCAGACAGTCGGTACCGTAGTTGAACATGTCTTCTCTTCTTGAAAACAACCCCAGTTGCCACCGATCGAGGCTTACTCTTGTGCCTCTAATGATTTTGATCATTCGGATGACTCAATCTACAAAGATGATTTCTTGGGAAATGCGACGGAAAGTGACCGTCTTCCTCCTATTTCGTACCCACAAGAAATTAGGAAGTCCAAATTCAATAAGGAAATTTGCCGGAAAGCCAATTTCGTAAAGTCAGAAAATTGTCTGCCAACTGACAATTTGAACACGCAGCTTGAAATTTACAAAAAAAAACCCAGAAGAACAAAAGGCGGCATAGCATGAGAACGCGATCTCAATCTAGAGACTTCCCATGGGACTAGTTATTTATTTGTTTTTATTTCTTTTTTTGATTTGGTCTCATCTGCTTTTTTTTCCTTTTTGTAATGCTTTTCTTTTCTCATCTGCATTGTACTATTTCCCTTTTTTCAATAAAATTTCCCTTTAAACAAAAAATTAGGAATGATAACAGGCCGGATCGGGGACGGTTTTACATATAATCGTACCCGCCCCGTTGAGTATATTCCCCGCCCCGTAATCGCCCCATTACCCAACGGGTAATTTTTACTCATACCATAACCACCCCAACGGGTAACGGGTATAACCACGGATAACCGTAGGTAACTGCTTTATTAAATGAGTCATTGATGTTTAATATAAAAAAATATTTTAAAAGGCAAAAAATTGCATTGCTAGTCGACGACTCTAGATGTCAGACGTCTCTTAGAAGTTTTGTGTATCTACAAGACGAGAAAGAAGACAACCTAAATTAATTTGAAACTAAAAAATACTTAATCTGAAAAATAATTAATCGCAAAAAATCTAATAATAATCAAGCAAGACTATAAAAAATTAAAAATCTATTATGAACTTTTATTCATACACTATATTTAGTACATATATTATCCATATATACACAATGAAAAGAGAAAATTATTATCTTTTAGTAGTTGTGGGACAAAGAACAGATAACTAAAAATAAACGGAGCTGTACAGGGGAGCTAATGGAGGAGACATGTATAAAATCATAACCGCACGTTACCCGTAAAATCAAAACGAATATTCACCGCCGCATACCTGTACCCTGTCAATGTAGGTTTTCCCGTTTTCATCGGTCCGGTTCGATGTGGGTATCCATCGACTCGACCGCAATTGCCAGCCCTAAGTGGAATCACCAAAGTGAAAAGGTCTTTACTCTTTACTCGTGTCTTTAGAACAGTTTCGCTTTGATAGCTAGTAAAAGTCAACTCTGAAACGGAAAATTTATACAGCTCCCAAGGGTTCAACCGCCACCGAACTGTTTCTTATTTAGTTTTTTTCTTTGAAATCATTTACTCTCCCATCTGTTTGCTAGCTGCGTTTACTTGCCCACAAACATCTCTTTATGTATCTCCATATATTTCCCTTCTCTCCACCAAATTATGGAAACTGTATAAGTGTAAGTCAATATCTCAGGAAGGTCATTTAATTAGCTCCTAACTGCCACTACCTCTCCCTCCCCTATTTTCCTCCCTTCCCTTGCACAAAATAAAACCTATGCTATCCAAGAAATCCTTTGCCCATTCTTCATTGATCTTTCTTTCCTTTTATAGCTTGGTACAATCTTTATACTTAGAGTGTAGCACAATTTAAGCCTCAAAAACAGCAACAATAACAACGTAAGAATACACAACGGTTGGCGCGCGGCACTCCGAGCGCCATACCGGACACCTGTAGTAAATCTAAGAAATCAAAAACACAATCTTTGTCATCTTTTTAAGGTTTATCATAATTGTTGTAGAAAGATCAACAACATTCAAATCCTTTGTCCCGTCGTGTGCGGTGGTGGGCAGCGGAGATGGCGGCAGCGGTTTTGGAGCAGACGAAATCGGTTCTTACAATGACAGGGAGGGTTGTCAACGACATCCTCAGCTTCATCGTCTTCTCTGTCCTCGACATACTAGACTTCGTCCTATGTTACACTTACAAGGTGGTGGACTTCATCGTGGAGGGGGAGTGGAAGTCGTGCTACTGCTCGTCCACCAAGGCCGCCGCCAGAACCAGCGGCGGCTGTGGCGGCACAATCTTGGTCTCCGAGCAAGGAGAATCCAAGATTCTGCGGCTAACCTCTTCCAGCAAGCTCCAGTTGGAAGAGGTTTCCGACACGTTGTACAACCGCCAATCGGTGGTGACGCAAATGCCGAGATTGATCTCGGTGAATGAGATTAAGATGAGGCGCAAAGTTGAGAATAGCTCCACCCACCATCATCAACAAGATAATAGCACGGTGAAGAAGGCGGGGAGCAATCTGGTGAGGTCAACATCGTTCAAGATCAACTCCGCCATTGTTGAGATTCTTCAAGGTCGGATTGGAGGGCAGCAACCGCACCTGCCGACTCCGAGATGGTCGGATTGCGATTGTAAGACTTGTAATTCTTGGGCGTCTTCTTGCAAGAACACTCTGTACGTCAAAGTTGATGGTGCTAAAGGTAATTATTATCGTTACTACCCTCCGGCCTTTAATTATTTTTATGTTACCAATTTTTTTTAGCAAATAACATTTTAATATATTGTGTCTCTTTTAATTGCAACATTAAACTTTTTGCACTATTCACATATTATATTTTGACTATATTTTATTAATTAATTTATTATAAATAATTTTTTTAAAAAATATTGTTAAATTGTTCTCATTATAAATTTTCAAAATATGAATTTTTTAAATTTTTTACTAATTTCGAATGAAAGATATTAATATTCAAATTTATGCGTTTGCAAAACGTGAAATGTTGATTGTTGTAAATAAAAGGGAAAAGAGGAAGTAATTTTTATATTTTAATTACTTTCGAATACAATTACGGTCAAAGTTTAACTTCTCATCAATGTTGAAATTAAAGTAAAAAATGGCTAACTAAAAAGGACGGGGAGTGTATTTGTATTATTTTTATTAATTATTATTACTACATACTATAATAATAGTAAAAATAATACTTTCTCAATATTATTATTAAAGAAATTGTCCATAATAGAGGTAAAACATAGACTAAGTTCACAAATAAAATTAAATATATTTGATCCTCTAAATTTGATTGATCTAGTCGTGATAATTAAGAGAAGAAATAACTCTCATTTAGTAGAAAAGGGGTTTTAGTTTAGGAATAAAATAATGGTGATTGTGAAAAATGTCTGATATATTATCCTCATTAAGAATTTTCCTCTTATTATTAATGTTTTTGTTGTTGTAGTTGGAAGCATTAGTATTACATTATTATAATTAATTTTATTTATATTAAAAACTATTACCGTTACTTCTTTGATAGATATTCTCTGAAATACGAGCAAATTAAAACCAACATAATTTTTTTTGCCTTCTGTTAAGGTTTTTATTTATTTTATAATTGTTGCGGTTAACCAGTTATTACTATCACTCGTCATAATTGTTATTTTCCTTGTTATTATTAAATCTTTTGGCTGGCTAATTAAATTTTGTTGTATACATTTATTTTCTTTAAATTAAAGGAAATAATAATGTGCAAGAAGATGTGCTGTTCATTCATGGCTTCATATCATCATCCGCATTTTGGACGGAGACACTATTTCCAAACTTCTCGAAGGAAGCAAAAGCAAAGTACCGTTTGTTTGCGGTGGATCTGCTCGGGTTTGGGAGAAGTCCCAAGCCAAACGACTCCCTTTACACCTTAAGGGAGCACCTAGATATGATCGAAAGGTCCGTTCTAGTCCCAAACAAGGTCAACTCTCTCCATATCGTGGCTCACTCTATGGGTTGCATTTTGGCCCTCGCACTCTCGGTCAAACATCCCGGTCTGGTCAAATCTCTCACTTTGATAGCACCCGTAAGTTCGTAATTACTACTCCTACTACTACTTTGTTGTTCTAAAACTCGCGCTAGTCGAGCAGTCGAGAGGTGACATGGTCGATTAGGTTTAATCGGTTCGACTAGATCGATATTTAGAACAGTAATCACTTTCATCATTTCTTTAAATTAAATCAAATTGTGGAGTTGTCATGTTTTTATTCTCGAGAGTAACTACTGTCATGTTTTGATATTACTAAACTTTAAACATGACAGTGTTTTCTTAACTTGACGGTAACTACTTCTATTTATGAAATAAAAGCAGGACATCCCTATTTTGGAATTCCAAAAACATTTTCTACTGATATTTCCGGATTTTTCCGATAAGTTAATATAGGTGTACTTATAAACAAAACAAAATATGACCAGAATAAAGATAATGAATGGAAATACGACTTTTCAATACACATAGTAACTAATTAATTGTAGTCACGTTATTTTCTACTTCGTAGATATATAAGTTCATCTTCAGTAATATTTTAGGAAAACTCTCTTATTCAAATGATGCATTGCAGCCATTTTTCCCGGCGCCGAAGGGGGAACAACCGACGCAGCACATGATGAGGAAAGTCGGACCGCGGCGGGTGTGGCCTCCGATGGCTTTCGCGTCGTCTTTGGCGTGTTGGTACGAGCACATAAGCCGGACGCTTTGCCTCTTGATCAGCAAGAACCACCGCATGTGGGATTTTATTACCAAAGTCATTACAAGAAACAGGTTAGCCCCATTTGTGTGTGAATTAAAATTCTCCCATTTCCATGAACTTCTGTATTTGCCTTCTGTCATGGTTGTTGGTCGTTGAAGAAATTAAATGAAGCGTGTCAAAAGGACCGGCCAATTACCCTATAACTTGCTATTTTCCATGTTCTCATGTACGTACCTAGCCTAGCTATATGGGTATATATATGGGTATATATATGGGTAGGCTAGCTATATATTCTTATAAATACTGTAAGAAATGAAGCATCAGATCCAGCCAGGCTTCTTTTCGCATGTATTAATTGGGGAGTATTCCTTAAAGTCCCCTATAATTAACTTGAGACTTTTTCGAATGAGTCTGTCAAAAATGGTCCCAACATCATGATATGAATAATGATATAAAAAAACCACCGGTGGACGTAGCTCAACTCATAGATAGGGGGTGTCGGGTGGGTGACACAAGAGGTAAGTTTCGGATTCGAATCCCGACAACTGCGATGAGAGATTACTAGACTAAAAATGCATAGGGTCTCTTCAAGTACAATGACCAAAGCCCTATTCTCTATCGATTGACTTGTGATTAAAGTCTAATTTACATCATTCCATCTAACTGTAGGGTCGGTGCTGGGGCACCCTCCGAGTATAAAAAAGCCACTCACTTTCTTCTTAGCTGTATTGAATGTGAATGTTTAATTTCATTCAGAAGCTTAAAATGACAACATGAACCAGTTGGTCCATTTATTGTATTCATAACAACGCTTCACCAACCACTTTTCCTACCGCCATATTAAATCTCGAGTCCTATGTATATCAAAGGTCTTATTTCCTGTACGTGTCACCTAAGACTATTACTCCATAATGGAATGCTCTTTATATCCTCCTATATAGATTTGACATTCCTTGTCGTTTTGGACAATTCACAAAGTTCAAATTCATTCCCTTTTTAGAAAAAATACACACTTAATATTACTCTAATCTTTTTTAAATGATGATCGACTAAATTGTTACCCATTGAATTATAAATCCAATCCCATACTTATCCTTCACTAATCATTTAATCCCCACAAACATTTAACACTTCTTGTGATGTCATCTCATATTCTCATGTACCCATATAATTTAAAGCCATACATAGATTGTGTAATCACGTTCTATTTCTTCTAGTGGTGAACAAAACCTACCCAATCGAAAGGGCAAACTAATATTTTCTCTTTTAATCATCACACACCTTCTTTAAAAATTCTTCTCATTTTCTACTGACATTCATTTACATTTTTTTACTCAACCACAACCACACATTTCTACTTTATTCCCACTTTCTTAAACTCCGATTCAAATTAAACTGAGAAGAATGTTAAGGGACGGAGGGAGTAATATAATTAATGTATATAGCCCATGCATGAATAAATCTTTACATGGATCTATGTTGACAATAAGCTAATTATGTGTGCTAAATGAAATAAAACAGGATAAGGAGGTATTTGGTGGATGGGTTTTGCTGCCACACGCACAATGCTGTGTGGCATACACTACACAACATCATATGCGGAACGGCGACGAAGATGGAAGGCTATCTGGAAGCCGTGAACCACCGCCTGAAGTGTGACGTGACGGTGTTCCACGGCCGCGACGACATTCTCATCCCTTTGGAGTGCAGCTACAACGTGCAGTCGAGAATCCCACGCGCCGAGGTGAAGGTGGTGGACAACAAAGATCACATCACCATTGTTGTGGGAAGGCAGGAAGCCTTTGCCAGGGAACTAGAACAGATCTGGGAAAACTCAACCAGCACTTGATGAACAACCTACGTGCTTCTGCTAGCCATGCAACAACGTTGTCTGATTATCTTTATAGAGTATATATGAATTATCTTAGCTTTATATAATCGTGTCCAGTTTATGGAATTTAAATTGGATCGAGATATTCATTCCATGCATACGTGTTCAGTGTTCATAAGGAAAATAACCTTAAGAATTGAAGATTAATTTACACTTATTGAGTGGGCAAGTTGTAACATTATAGCTCCTACAAATACATACCATCGCATATACTACGTATGATTTATTATTTGTAATGAACTAATATAATGATCTCGTTGGGAATGGAATGGAATGCCAAGTTATTTTCATTTATTACACATAAGTTTACGTTATTGTCACAATAAATTAAACATGTTTACAAGCTCTACGATATAAAGTTATAAAGATGTATATTTTCTCGGGAGTAAAGCATATCAAACATGTTAAAATTCCTTAAATAGGAGTCTTTTTTATGCTTGGACAAAACTTCACAACCACCTCCGCCAATGGATTTGCAGGCCCTGGTTATGACTGTTATGTAAGGGAACTAGGCCGCGGGGGCATTTGTTAATTAATTAAAAGATAAATCTGATTGAAAGAGTAGCTCATGTCTTAATATATGACTTTATTCCTTCACAAATTTCCGGTGTGGGAATTTAACACCCCTCCTCACGATCAGACACTTCGTCTGGATCGTGACGTCATTCATTTTTTCGTCGGTTCATCATTGTCATTTTTATAATCTTGTCATCATTTTTTATAAGGGGGCCCATATCATGGATCGATTAGGCTCTGATCCCATGTTAAGTCTCAGGGTTGCATCCTAAAAGGTGAACCTGATAGGAGGAGTAACTCATGTCTTAATACATACGAAGTATCACTTTATTCCTTCACAAATTTCCGATGTGGGAATTTAACAAAAGGTAATGTGTAGTTCCATTGAAGGAATGTAAAGCATACTCTTATCTAGAAAATATGACCATATTTTACTCCTAGGGCAAATAATTAAAGTTAGAAGTATACATATAAAGACATCACCAATATACTCTCTCTGTCCCTTATAACTTTGTCAACTTTCCTTTTTTGGTTGTACAAAAATTTTTGTCACTTTCCCTTTTAATCATTCAATTTGTGATTTCGGTAATTTCTCTCTCCTCTGTACAAATCTCTACCAAACAGTTTTTACTTTATTATTCTACGTGCCGGTCAAACTTGGTGATGGAGTAATGAGACTAGATCCAGAGCCTAATCAGCCCAAGCCTCGAACTTGGACCCGTGGATCCAAGTCCACAACTTGGAGCCTGCCTGTTAACCCAGCGGAGAGCCATCCAGTCCGACCGACCTCCCAGCCCGGAAGAGTAACGGTCAAGCAATTAATGCGATATTAATTATGTATTTAATTCCGTATTAACGTTGTAATTAATTAGTCATGATTATCGGTAACGGTTACGATTTGTATACGCCTATAAAAGGCGGGTCGTAATTCAGATTAGGGGAAGCAACTTCTATATGCTATTTCTGGCTAACTTTCCATATTCGTACTTTCCTAATTTTTGCTTGAGTGTCGTACGTAGCTTTCCTAAAAGCCTATGAGCGTCCTATTTTGGACCAACATTGGTGCTTTCATTGAGAGTCTCCCTTTTCTCTCATATCACTCTAGTGGGAATTAAGAAAAAATACGCTCTCTAAACAAAATCACGGCAGATCCATCCAAAAAATACAGAAAATTCATTAGAAACATGAAAGATCTAGCAAAAATGGTTCGGAAATCCTCCAGATCTAGCAAAAACGGTTCTGGAATCTTCCAAATCTGGAGCTTCTTCTATAGACCCGAACTCCGGCAAATTGGGCTTACCAAAGTAATCACGATCATTGCCAAGCTCAACCACTTCGTTGCACCACCTGTAGAATGTCGGGTCATTGCAGGTTCAGCACCGCCGTCGCTCCGAGTTTTAGTGCCACCGCCACGAAGGCCCTGCGAACATACGACCTAAACAACGTATGAACCCGCGGTCTGCGTCGAGGCCTGAACCAGCCTGGCGGCCAACAACATAGTGGAGATCGACGCATAACGTATGACTCCAAGACGAGCGCTACAATTCCATCACCGCCGCGCTGTCACCGCGCCTTCCGCCGTCGAGGTTTGCTGGGCTTTAACGCTGAGATTGAGTTGCGAGATTGGGGACCATTGGGCGAGATGCTCCGGGCTGGTTACAAGAACTGAGGGCCGCCCCTACTTCGACGATGGCGAGCTCATCCTCCCTTTCCGGCAGCATCAAGGACAGAGGACGTCTCCTCTTCCTCTCCGAAGCTGCAGATCTGCCCTCATTTATCCAGACCTAACGGAAGTTGCGGATAAAAAAAATCAGGCCATGATCGTTCCACGAGTGTGCAACATCTCACAATTTTGCTTGGGCCCAAGGGAATCACCATGCTGATTTGAATCACCGAGCCCATCAACAAATGACCCGAACAAAAGCTAAGTATCCAAATATCCTCTATATTTGATACAAAAAAAACATTTACCTAAAGAAAAAAAATCATAAATTGAAACATTTGAAAAGATATTTTAAGTGATATGATTGCTTTTACTCTTGTTAAGTGTGTGTAATTTTAACATTGAGTAACGGACTAATGAAATCTGATCACTCAAGTACGCCGGACGAGCACACACACTCATACACTGGTCGAGCACACGCACTCGCGCCACCGGGTCACATCATACGAGTGTGACGATTAATAAGCTCCAATATCAATGTTAATACCGCACACTTTTGACATCATACGAGTTCTCGAGTGCGCTTACCTCTTCATAGTGCATCACACTCCGACCTCGGGAGACGACGAGTCACCCGTTCAAAAGTTTTTACTTGCGGGTTCGATCTACTAACCTCGGGCGGCGAGTTAAACTCTTGTTAGGGGCCTAGAGCCACGCTCATCCGAGCAATTTTGTCACTTAATTGACATTCACATTTCTCGAAAAGGTTGATATACTTTAGTTCTTTGGGGTTGGATTATCCGTTCGATTGAGGAGTCCGACTCACTAACTCGCGGATTCAATCTTTCTTTCGGAGACTGGGTTGAGGCCTAACTTGGGAACTTGATGTCACTCTTTTCAAGCAGTGAGTCCGACTCATTTACACACTGAGCCGTGGTTCGACACCAGGCGAGATGCTCTATTCTACACTAGTTTCTTTTATGTGTAGGTACAACTGAATGAAGTGGGGGACTGAGGGTCATACCGTGTTCAAGGAAGCAAATGAAGAACCTGATGAGTCTGAGCCCGACGAGAAGAACAGTTCTAGCCATCCTATTTGCAGATGGCGATTATTGCAATAAAGGCTGAGGATCTCACTTCTTGCTTCATCTTGGGGGCGTCAGATGTACTCTTTTTCTCTTCATTAGGGTTTTTTCCCATTGGGTTTTTTCCTAATGAAGGTTTTTAGTGAGGCATCTCCCCAACATGGACAAGGGCGAGGATCTTCCAATCTCGGAGAAGAGCTACTGACTTGGACTACTCCCTCTTAGCCGAGTCTACTACTCGACTAAGGGAGTGGGGGACTCGTGATGGAGTAATGAGACTAGATCCAGAGCCTAATCAGCCCAAGCCTCGAACTTGGACCCGTGGATCCAAGTCCACAACTTGGAGCCTGCCTGTTAACCCAGCAGAGAGCCAACCAGTCCGACCGACCTCCCAGCCCGGAAGAGTAACGGTCAAGCAATTAATGCGCTATTAATTATGTATTTAATTCCGTTTTAATGTTGTAATTATAAAAGGCGGGTTGTAATTCAGATTAGGGGAAGCAACTTCTATATGCTATTTCTGGCTAACTTTCCATATTCGTACTTTCCTAATTCTTGCTTAAGTGTCGTACGTAGCTTTCCCAAAAGCCTACGAACGTCCTATTTTGGACCAACACTTGGCAATCCTTTTAGGGACGGAGGGAGTATCATTTTACCAAGTATAGAGTATATGATAGTATTACTTTTGCAATCAAATTCTACTCTTCTTGTACTCCGTATATGCTATCACATGTCCAATTTCTTAATTAATTGATACTCATTCCCTCCTTAAATTAAAGAACGTAACTTTCTGATTTCTTTTTTGGACCTTCCTAAATAAATCGTTCTTTTCTTGTTTGAGAATTAAATTTCAATCAATTTACTCTATAAGTCTTAGATATACTCCCTTCGTTCCTAAATAAACATTTCATTTTCCTATTCAATTCATCCCTTAAAAATGTCTCATTTCTTTATTTTATAAACAATAGTGTTAAACGGTGCTTTTTTCTTAAATTGTGTAAAGGTCAAACAAAAACTTTTAAATTGGGATGGAGGGAGAATAATAATGACTACACAATGACAAATGATGTAACCGTGTAAGAAGTGTCAAAATAGGAGTTTTTATAGTGCTTGACATTGGTTACATTATGAACTTACCTGGGTTGACAATAAGAAACAGTCTAAGATAATAGGAGTAAACCATAAAAGAAGTGCAAGAATAGGAGTTTATGTTTTAATCTTTCTAAATAGGAGTAATACATTTTGTGGAAAAAATATACCCTAGTGTTTTAGGTTAGAGTGTTTTAGGCCTTAGGGTGGACTGGGTGGTGGACGTTGGCGGTGGTAGCGCGGATTCCAACTATGGCGGCGTTAGTTGGAGGTCCTATGATTGGAGGAGGAGGTCCAACGACTGACGGTGGCTGAGGTCCGTCTGGTGGCCAATGAAAGCGGTGGTACAACGGCTAACAATGGGTGTGGTAATATATACTCCTTCCGTATCTAATTAGATGATCCGTTTGCTTTTCACGGAGTTTAAGACAATTACTGTAGACTTTATAAAAAGTAAGAGGTTTTTGGTACTGTAGCGGTACTGTAGCTGCTTTTTGAGTGGAGTTCTTTCCAAAAAAGAAAAGGAGACAATTAATTTGATACACCAAAAAAGGAAAGTGTGACAAGTAAATTGATACGGAAGGAGTACTTCAAGACCTAGAAGGGTGTCTTTATCCAATCACAAATTATTACTCCTATTTAGGAAATTTTAAACTCTAATTCTTATTTTTGCATGTTATGAAATTTTTCTTTGACCAGCCTCAATTAAAAGATAAGTTTAACTGCAAATCTACTTTTTCAATCTTTGAATTGCAGCCTTCACTCTTTCAAGCCACCGGTAACGAAAATTGAATAGTGTCGTGTAATGATTGATTATAGTTAAGTGTCTACATTACAGTCTTAATCTAAAGTTGATATCAAGTACTAAAGGCCGGTTAATTTGGTGCAATTTAAAATGGACAATCTGGACGAGATAGTTACATCAAGTTGTGTTTCAATTCGGATGGCCAA